CCCCCCTCTCCCCATGCATGGGAGAGAAGCTCTTCCCATTCAGGCCCGCACTCCGCGCGACAGGAGTGACCTGCCAGCAGGGGGCAGACATCTGCTTCCTGTTAGAAGCGCTTCAAAATGATCCAAATCCCTAAATAGTTAGTTTATAATGTTTTTACTCCAAGAATGTTGTTCATCATGTGAGATTCAAGTCACCGGTTCAATTAACATTTTTAAATGATGATTGGACAAAACAAACCTGCAGTGGATTCAAATGAGGGTGTGGTAGTTCCCCATGCTGTAAATGAACATGAGATGAATGGACATAAAAGGCTGTGGGATATGGAGAGGATCAGGATATCACGCTATTTCGACCCAATACTATTGATGATTTAAAATATTTAAACAATGTGGTTTTAAATCATCAGTTATCTGGCTATAATGACTTAGTAAGTGTAAGCCAGTTCATAATAATAATTGTAGAGAAAAAAAAGTATAGATTTGACTCAATGTTTAATGTTCGATATTGATGTTTCCAGACGGTGGCGCCGTGGGAGCGCCGCGGCTTCCCCCTGCCGGCGGACCCCGAGCCGGAGCCAGAGAGTGACATCAGGCCGCGGATCCGCACCATCTCAGGTTGCCGGGCAACAGCCTACGGGCGGCTGGATTCGGACGACATGGAGCCGCCCTGCGACGAGGACGGCGGCTCCAAACTCAAGGCAGCCTCCGCCGCCCACCGATGAATGACTGACAGGCTGCGGCCCCGCCCCTTCCCGCCCCACAGCTCCTCTCTGGCATTAACAAGCAGAACCTCAAAGCAGAATAAAAGATATTAAATGGGTTCCTGTTGTTTGATATTCAAACATCAGTCTAATACTTTTCACAGTTTTTAGTGAACATTATGGAGATAGAAGCCTTTCCCTACACTTGTTTTTGTCACAGGAAAAAAAAGGATAAATGTAAAAAAAAAAAGTATAAAACACGTTACAAAAAATGTTTTCTGTAGTAGGCTGAACAATGTACATGGGGGCTTAGTGGTGTTTCATATGTCGCGTGTACACTTGTAGCGCACTATGTAGCGGACTCCTCAAAATATGGCCAAAGGGTGTTTTCTATTGACTAGTTTGCTTGTATTTCCCATGTACATTTTTAGTGGAGTGACAAATTACAAAACAAGAAAAAATCCCCTTGTCCTTTCTCCTCCTCATCCAAATAAACAGGTACATTTGAGATGTGGTTCCCCTCTTCTCCCACTAGAGGTCGCCTGAAATCACCAGAGCACTTCTCCAACTGCCAAGTCTAGTTTTGTTGGTTTTTGCTTTTTTTTCTTTGTTTGTTTTTTCATTCCTGACATGTTTTATTTGTATGTGTTCTGTCTGTTCCTGCGTAACACATTCTTTGTGTTTTATGAAATAGTAAATCATTCCTTTCTACGGTCTCTTTTTGGAGAGTGTGTCCGGCTCCTCGTCTCGCCCCGCTGTCTCTGTTCTTTTTTTATTTTATTTTTTAAAGAGGGTGGTGGCATAGACAGGCCGGGGGTGTCTTTTGAGCACTCGCCCGTACAGAAATAAAGCGCTGCTGCATGCTAAAAGTAAACATGCTCATGTTAGTCTTATCACAGTAAGATTTCCACTTAAAGAAACAAGCGGCGGGGGGTGATTGTTCCATCTGCTGGTTTCACTCTTCGTACAGTCGTTGCTGTATTAGAAAAAACGTGGCAAAATAAAGAAATAACACAACCCCCCCCCTTCCTCTTTTTTCCCTCTTGCAATCACTTCAAATGTAGCAGCTAAAAGCCCCCCCCTCCACCCCGAGCTCAGGTTTTTCAATTTAAGGGAATACTTTTCTGCTGTGTAATAGATTCACTCTGATTAGACTACTCCATTGCCAGATGGGTCATTGTTTTTTGCCACCCCCCCACCACCATCATAACCACACTATTCTTGCCCCCCCCCTTCTCCCCCACCTTAAGTAACTAATTGCTATGCAAAAAAAAACTATGGTTGTTTTTTCATTTTACACCTCCTTTTAATGCCACAGCCATTCAATCACTGTTTTTTTCTTTTGTAGTTTAAGCAAGATGTCAATGTACCTGTTTGATTGTTGCAGCAGTTAACCTAATCAAAAAGCAGAATTGTTTTTTCTTTTTTGTAAATAGTACCATTAAAACATTTATGTTTAACTTGGCGTTATTGGTCTGGCCTCAAGTCCTTTGAGTGTGATAATTGTCAGAAATCACTCCCACTTTCACTCAGTCACTGTTAATCTTTTAACATTTAATAGTTACAAATGTGTATCATTACAACATTTGCTAACGTGCCATCGTGAACACATTTGGGTATATTTACGTTAAACAAATGGCAGACGATGCACTACATGAAAAATAGGGAGCGATTTCCGTACTTGTGATAAAATCCTCCACAACGACGGTGACTTCATAGCATTTATTTTCAAATACACATATACAGCAACAAGAATCATCATAAACCAGTTATTGATCAAATGCACAATAACGAGAACAATCACATTTCCACAACTGTACAGCGTCAGAAGCAACCAAACGAAAAAAAGGGTGATTTTGTTACTGCAGAAAACCGACCCACCGAAGCACATTACCTCTCCTCCTCCTCCTCTCACCCTGCACACCCACATGATGTGGTCTAAAGAACTCAGCATGCAGATAAAGGTGCAAGCACTCTTAAGTCCTATCTTTGCGATCATAGAGATAAAGCACCTTTAAATCTATGTCGGCAACATGTTAAATACACGCAGTTGGGAGTGTTTTGGACTCTATAACCACCTTCTTTTCTACATCATGTCTTTCCATATCCAGGAAGTGTTCATTAAACAGGAAGTAAAAAGAGACCACTTTGTGAAAGGGGGGCAACAGGCAGACTCCTACATGAGGTGCATGCAAGAAGTTGTTTCACTAGTTTTCATTAATGCGCTTAATAGTGATGAGTCACTGGGGCTATCGGTCAACATTAGGACGTGTTTGAGCACATGAACGGACTGTTATATTGTTAAGGATCTCATTACAAATTGAGGAAAACGGCTGGTTGCATCTTTACAAAACACTAAATACTCATTACTCTTTGAATCTGTGGATCAAGATAATATTGAGGTGGTCATGAAAGCGATTACCTGTAATCTTTGCTTTTAAACTTGGGAATTAGCTGAAGAAGCCAAGTATGTTAGTCAGAAGTATTACAGACACATTGCCGCTCCTAATTTCGTGAGATAGGCCGAGAATTCGGGTGTCCACATACTTTTGGCCGAGTAGCTTTTCTTAGCCGTGATCTCTAGTATTTTATTAGGGAAGGTAAAAGCAACCAGCTAACTTGGCGTGATGTAGAACCGTCCAGAGACAAACATCAACTGCTGTACAGCTTTCCCTCAACTTAACTTGGCCCAGTCAACCTATCTTTAGCCATCATCATCATCATCATCATCATCCACCAACCTGCTAATCATTATGGTTGAGAACAAATGTACTACTTTTTTCCACCTTTAAAGTGAGATTATGTAACGTTTAAGAGAGGAGCTAACACCATCTTAAAAGTCAAATGTACAACTAGCTTCTTTACTTTAACACTGTTAGCTTAGCATCATTTTATCAGAAGTTGCGTTGTCTCGCTTTAAGAATAAATTCCAGTAATTGTGATGATTATTTTACCTAGATTAAATGTGCATAAAGCAGTTTAAATACTGTTATCAATGACTAGCTTCGAGTCTCTATTCCTCTTAATAATTTGGCCATGACAGTTTAAAATGCCTTAGGGTTAATTTATCTTCTTAAGCGCATTTACAATAGAGCAGTAACAACAAATAAAATAACACTGACAGTAGCAGGCACGATACAAATGTTTCTTCATATCAAATACATGTCATATATCCACAGAGAACGATTATAAAACTGTGCCCAACACAAACCAAAGTTTCTACGCTAGCAGTTCTGTTTTTTCTTTTCTTTTTTTTTATCCAGGTTACACCCCCGTCATGTCGGGACTACACCAAGCAAAATACAGCACTGAGGTCTGAAAGCATTTTCTCTGCCTTGCACAATTAATTTGCTACTTTTCTTTTGAGCAGTTTTCCTCCGACACCCCTCACCGTACCCTGTTAGCTGCTCCTTCTGCGTTAGCACAACCCGGACCCCAGCAGGAAAGGAAAGGGGACACGTTAGATACAGACCTCTCTAAAGGGCCACAGTCGATGGGACAGGAAACCAAGTGTTAAATGATTACCAGGATATGTATGAAGATCTGTGGATTCACAGGGCCAATCTTGCTCTGCTGGGGTGCTTAAACTCTTAAAAGGGAGACTTACAAAAGGTAAAAATAGCAAATGAAGAGACCACAGAGAGAAATTAAACAAATACTTGTTAATCATTTTTCTCTCTCTACGTAATGCCAGTTTAGTGAAGGATAAACAGTGATGGGTAGCTAAAAAAGTCCTGTGAAAATAACGAGGGAGGCATCACAACTCCTACGTGGTCGTGTGGTTGAGTGGAGCCAGGTGGAGGTTTGGGGGGGGGGGTCGTTCACAAGCCCTGTTTGGCCAGGGAGGCAGACACCTGGTCGGCCAGCGTGGAGAGCTGCGGGGAGTCGGCAATGTTGAGGCTGCCGGAGGAGGACACGGTGCTGAGGGGGTGGGGGGAGTCCTCCAGGGAGACGATCTCTGCGCCGTGGTCCGTGCGCGCCTTGGCGGACTCACGGAAACTCAGCTTGTGGCTCTCAATCTGCGGGGGGGGTTCAAAGCAGGGGGTCAGACATGCAGCTTGGAGCGCCCCCTGCTGGGGAATAACGTGTTGCAGCAGACTCTGAACATAGTTCACCAATTTCTGTTGATTTACCTTCACACAGACACAGCTGTCAGTGCGTTACTATGGAGATCTTCTCCACTTCTTTGGAGGTTTAGCTGTGTTAATAAACGACGCACATGTTGTGTAGTAAAATATTGACCTACTTTACTTGACAATGTTTGACACCGTTTTTGCTATTTTTCTGAAATTTTTAAATGAATAACTTGTCCTTCCTTTTGCATATATAGGGTTGGACATACTATACATGTTATTTTTATGATATATATATCTATATATATATAGATATATATGTTATATATATCTATATATATATATTTGATATACTTTATTAATCCCTGTGGGGAAATTGTTTCTCTGCATTTGACCCATCCTAGTGTTAGGAGCAGTGGGCTGCCATTATGTACGGCACCCGGGGAGCAGTGTAGGGAACGGTGCCTTGGTCAGGGACACCTCGTAGCACTTGGTCTTGCTGGGACTTGAACTGGTGACCTTCCAGTTGCCAAGCCAAGTCCCTATCGACTTCGCCACCACCGCCCTTTTTTTTTTAAATTTCTTTTTTTAGATTTTTTGATATATACATAAACCGTATAGTATGTAATAAAATATATATAGGCCTATATTTTATCACATACTATACGTTTTTTTTACCTTTTGATGACCTACTGTACTATGAGTTTTTAACAATGTTTTCGTCATATGACCGTTTCTGATATTTCCCATGTTCAGTATGTCTTTCTTCTTGCACATTTTCAACATACTATGCCATGATGTTTGTTCTTATATTTTTAACAAACTATTAGGATTGTTTTTTTTGGTATTATATACTATTTAGTTTCGTCTGATATTCCTACTTAGTATACTATGTTGTTGTCAGTGACTTTTGCAAGATATTATGACCTTGTTTTCCCATGTTTTGTCCGAAATGTCCACATATGTCCACTTTGATTTTCTATGACCTACTATACTCTGATTTGTGTACGAATCTTATGTGACCTGCTACATCATGACTTTCCTCATTTTGTATGGCATAGTAGATTTTCAGTGTTGATGACTCAGTGCTAATTTAGCAGTCAGCTTTTATGGCAGCATATTTCTGGCACGTTCATCACACAGCGCTGTAATGCTCAGTTGTGCACGTGGTTTCAGCCTGCAGTATCTAAGTATTTCTCCGACACACAGCTGGTGAGTACTTACGGGAGTCCTCAATCTTTATGAGGGGGTTCGTCAGGATGGGTGTGATGGGTGCTGAAGGGACAGTCTGAGGTGACTGGGGGGGGGTGACAGCGGGGGAGGGGATTGAGGGGCTGCCTGAGGAAGTCCCCTCTGCTTCCTTCCCTTTCTCCCTCTACAGAGGAACCCCACACAGGGAATGATGAGGCATGCGACAAAAATAAATGCGATGGCATCAACAGAAATCAAAACACAACGGAACAAAATGAAGAAACTAAATATAATGATGACAAATCAATAGTCTATGATGACAACAACTGGATACAAAAGATGGAAGCTTGAACAAAACAAGAATAAAAGCAGCAAGCTCAGGGAAGGATGGGGTGAGAGATGGACGACTTACCGGTTTGTTTTGAGCTCTTAAAATGGTTTCTTTTAAACCAAAGTTTTAAAATCTGAAATCATGTGCTGCATTGTGGGTTAGAAAAAAGTCTGCTAAGCATTTAAAGCACGACTTAGACTCCTGAAAAGTTTACATTTTGGAGTGCAATCCTCTTTTCTAAATCAACTAATTCAAACAGTTAATTTTATTTCCTGCACTTTGATACTTCTACATCAAGTATTACATTTTACATACCTTAAACATTTGAAGACTCCATCCTATATTTTAAACAGCTGAATAGCTATTTTATTTTTTATTTAAAGGTGGGGTGGGTAAGTTTGAGAAACCGGCTCGAGATACACTTTTTGTTATATTCCATGGAATGCTCTTAACATCCCGATAGCAATAAATATCTTCAGTACTTTGACAAAAAATCCATAAAAAAATGTCACCTGTGGAAGCCGTAGTACTGTAAAAAGCACGACCAATCATTTTAGCCGGCCCCGGCTAAAATTATTGGATAGCCTACCTGCCTGTCAGCCTTCCATCTGTGCACAAACTTATCTCTTGCCCTCATTGGTCATGTGCACGTTCGTGTGTTGGAGGAGGGGCTCTGTAAGGAAGTGGCAGATTTCTCCGGCTGTGTATTTTCAAATTCTAGCGCACTTGAGCTGGTTTCTCCAAAATTAAATACCCCACCTTTAATTGAAATGTTTTGTATATATTCATTTTTAAATGTACTTTATTTTGAATGTCAAGCCACAAAATAAGAAGGAAAATCTCTCGTATGTGAACACCTATATTTAGCAATAAAGCTGATTCCATCTTGCTTTTCATAATAAAGAAAGTGAAAAATGCTTCTCTTCTTCTAGGATATAGTGCTGCTGAGTTCAGGTGCTGTTGTTCTGTAGGTCATTAGCATGCAGATGTGATGAAACTCTCCAGCTGTGCAGGCTAAAGCTTCGGCCAGCAGGAAGTGATCGTATGAAGAAGGGTGACAGCAGACTAAAGAAGATCTAGTTTCAACATGAGTGTGCTTACCCTCCTCTGCCCCCCTCCAGGGACGTGGCCGATGTTTCCCAGAGAGCCGACCTTAGACTGACCTTTGAACTCCACCTTCTCATTTTTGATCTCGATATTCCCACCACCTGATGAACACAGAATGCATAGTACCATAAATAACCACATAAAGACGTATTTATCAACATAAATATAAATATATGAATAAGAGAAAGTTAACATGAAATCAATTCCTATAAAATCACAAGACTAGCAGCGGAAGACATCCTAGATATTATACTGAAGTAAAAATACAACAAAGTAAAAGTACACAATGATTACAAACTAAATTAAAAATGTCGGTGAAAGTACTTGTTCTGCAGTAAAATGTCCCTGTGGCTGTTATTTTATAATATATTGCCGTATTAGATCAAGTGGATCCAAACTAGGGGTCGGGCCCCTCCACAGATAGACCTCCAGATAGGTCTCAGGGGAAACACTTCTGATACGCACATTTGTATTAATTGGTTGGACCTGTCTCAAATTGTAGCTTTTTTTGCGAAATACTTGATATTTATCCCCTCCCCTTTTGCTGTAGCAGCAAATGAAGGAAATTGAGACGTAACAAGGAGCCGCAACTAGACACTGACTTTTGTCACAAGATTTAGGCTGGAATCACTGGTTTAATCGTTTATTATTTAATATATATATTTGATGTAAAATCTGGAAGGTAACTATATTAACTTTAGCTGTAGAATGAATGTGGCGGTGAAGAAGAAAGTATAACATTCCCTATAAAATGTGTAGTTACATCAAAGCACTACCAAAACCAAGCCTGCTGCATAAAGACTACGTTTAAAGGAGTTCTAAAAGCTAGAAAGTAAAAAGTATTTTATTGCATGTGTAGATTTAAAGATTTTGAAAGAGGACACTACGAACACAAATGTACCTGGCTTATGGTGGAGGTTGGATTTAGATCCACATTTGGCCTGAACGTTGGTCAGATCGACCTTTTTGTGCACAATCTGAACCTGTGAAGGGGAAACACAGAGAGCACAGACAAGTCAATTCAAAGTCAAACAAATATCTATTAACCCGGTAACATGCAACTACAGAGGAACTGCTGCTAAAAGCAAACATCATATACGTTAAGACACACAGGGTTAGAGTTTCAGGTCTGTGACAGTGTTAATGAAAGAAATGCAGAAAACGATCCAGTTTGAGTTAAGACGTTAAGTGTAACGGATCATATTCTGCAATCTTTCACATGCACTGCTCATGACGGAGCCTTATTTCTGCGTATGCATCACAGAGTCTCATCCCTCCTGTCATGGCCGATTGTCTGGATCCACAAAGCGCTCAGTCTCTGCTCTGAGGTCATCAGAGCGCACCACAGCAGGCACAGAGAGGACAGGGACTCTTTGTTACGACTCCTTCTCCTCTGTGTCACAATTAGTGCGCTTCACCACAAGGGAATTAAGATCATCATCACTTTTCTGTGCATTTGCTAAACACACATCGGATTAAGGTGAAGAACAACAGAAACACACGGGTTCATGCATGTTCGTTGAGGGGCCGGTTTGGGTTGGCAATACGTTCTGATCACAGTAAAAGCGACAGCACAGGTTCAACAGTTATCAGCTTACAGAGGAGCATGAGCATTACATAACGCTGAGAGCTGCCACAGAGCACTCGGCCAAAGAATCTCACATTTATCAGAACTAGTTCACATCTGAGATTCAGAGCACACTCACTACTGGTGATGAAATACATCTATGGTGGAGGAAGTACAAGTACTAATCCCATACTGTAAAAAAAAACATCTCATTAAAGTAAAAGAATGTAAGTATCAAACATTTAAATAAGTACAAATGTAAATTAAATTATAATGAAAATGTAAATTAATATAAGTGTTAAATAAAATAACTTTCCTCTTTAAAATGATATTATTATTACTCATGTAAATAGATTTTCACTGTTTTAATTGACGTGCACTTTTATATAAAACAAATGCCGTAGCCTGACATTTTTTATATTCAATTGTCATATAAATAACAATAGATAAAGGTCCCTTTTAAAGGCTGGAACAATGAAAAAGGAGTTTTAAGTAATTTAATCAGTAATTCAAATATTACATTTTTTATTTCAATTGACAAATCATTTTTTCTTTAATTGAAAAAATTGTTGCATCATATTTGAAAAAACTCTGGTATGTTTTATATGTAAACAACATTGTGTAAAGTAACTAGAGCTGGTTTATGAATGCAGGAAAGTGTAAAACATAAGTAACTATTGTTACCCCCCTGATCTAGGGTCAGGTCCACTCTAATGCTCATGCCTGTGTATTAATGATAACGCTGTTAATAGGAGGAGGTTAGCCGTGTTGGATCACATGGAGGTCAGAGGGAACACACAGGAGGCTTCGTCATGCGGACATCCTCCTCAGTGAAGGAAGGGTGTGGCCCCTTACAGTCTGCCAGGGGCCACCCCCCCGATCTACTCACATTGCCTCCACCCGCTACATGTTTTATATTATCTTTGGAGCCGCACCGGGACTGCACACTGCTTAAGTCCAGCTTCTTTTCAACAATTTGAACCTGGAAAGTTGATATGAAAGACGGTTATCCTGGAGGAAGGAACAGAGGCAGATCTAGAGAGAGGGGGAAC